AGTCATGAACCTTCACAAGTGTACTGTGTAAGACTCATTTTGTCAGCTTACAAATGAATGCAACTAACAAACAATTCTCCTGGAAAGGAACTTGTGCATAGGTCAGGGACTTACTATATGTTACAGTGAAATACTGTATGTTTATTGCTATCAAATACTCCTTCTGATAACAAGGGTTAATTATTTTAAATATCAAATACGATATATTTTATTCATTGTGTCTTCACTGTGCATGTTTGCTGTTTAAGTCTCAGATAACGTATAAACAAGCACAGCTTTGGGCTAATAACCCTTTATGTACAAACAAGTGGCAGACTAGGCACGGCCCATGGGCGTGAGCTGCCAACCTCCAACCTCAAACTTTCGACCTCACGTAAGTGCGCATTTCCTAGTGAGAACATAAGAAATGAAAGCCAGAGATAATTTGGCACAGTAGAAATGGCACTGAAATTAGAAAATAGTTCTCTTGCCGGGCGTGGCGGCACACACCTGTCATCCCAGCACTCAGGAGGCTGAGGCAGAAGGATCGTTGGGAGTTCGAGACCAGCCTGGGCTACACCGTGAGCTCAAGGCCAGCCTGAACTGCATAGCGAGACCCTGTCTCAAAAAGACAAAAAAACAAAATAGTTATCTAGACTTCTGTGTATTCAAAACCATTATTAAGTATACTCCTTAAAAAACTGAAAGACATGGCCTTTTTTCCTTGAGAATCTTACAAACTCTTTAAAGAATAAAAGTATCTTGACCAATTCAACAGCAATCACACAATGTGTGTATTAGGTCAAACAGCATAGGGCCACTCCGAGAGCTGGCACAATATAGCACCAGGACTAATGAAGAACCCCAAATATGATGTCAGAAGTTCTGCAAAAAACACACCCAGGAAGCTCAGTTTACCTGCGACTTACCAAATTTATCCGATCAGAGACTTACTGATATTTTGTGGGTACACTCAGAAATACCTTTTTTTTTAATGCCAGTCTGGACTGGAAAGAGGCAAATGAGCAACAGACCAGGTTTTATCAGTGAGAAAGGCAAAGCTCAGCAGCACCAAGGGCAGGGAGCTCAGAAGCTGAGACGTTGAAGGAGGTGCTGGATAAAATCAGCAGCACCCTTGCAGCCAAGTGTGGTAGTGCATGCCTGTGATCCCAGCATTCCAGCTGACACAACTAATACAGGAGGACCACTGTGAGCTCAAGGCCAGCCTGAACTACTACATAGTGAGTTCAAGGCCCGCCTGAACTTCACAGTGAAGACTTTATCTCAAATGAACAAAAAACAACAAGGACACGTGTGGGTGGAAAAAGAAAAGATCCCAAGGATAAGCCCCTGACACTAATCTTGTTTAGGCCCAAACTGCTTTGAGTCAGTGTTTCACTGTTAGAGTAACTCAAAAAGGTGCAACACAGTAATTCCAAACTGTACAATTACTAGAATAACTTTTAATTCACGAAAAATAGAAATTAAGATATGTAATGAGAAAGAGTTTATCACTGGTATTTTTTTCCTCTGTAATCTGGGGCCAGGCAGGGATACAGATGAAGTGAGGTTGGCCATACACTGATTAGTGATGAAACCAGGTGTTGGGTACCAGTGCATTTATATATTCTTCTCTAATTGAAAATGTCTATGATAAAAATGTTTTTGAAATCAAATTAAATCCTAGTTCACACTAAAGTAACATCCATGTTATGCTAAAGAGTAGTACCTTCCTCCAACATGTGAAGTATAAATTGATTCTGGACAGCACATATGAAGAAGAAATGCACTGCATGATGAAAGATGTCATGAGTTCTATGAATTCTCTAATCCAAGGAGCAGCTAAAACATGGGTTTAACTCAGAGAAGGGCAAGAGACAGAAAGGTGACTATAAATAGCTGAACAACTGAACTGGATAATAACAGTCCCTATCTTCTGGGGCTACTAAAAGGATTACGTCAAATACTTTAGTTATAAGTGCTTATTAGTAAAATGCCCAATACAGAAGCCTATCCAACAAGGCTGGTTTTACTGTCATGAGTCACTACAGACAGGTGGGACACTTACTCTCTTAGCTGTAAAAGAAAGAACAAAGGAGGTGGATGAGTAGAAATGGAAGAACAAAAACTTTCAATAAACAGCCACACACATGGCCAGGTGTGGTGGCGCACACCTATAATCCCAGCACTTGGGAGACTGAGGCAGGAGAATTGCTGTGAGCTTGAGGCCAGCCTGGGCTACAAAGTGATTTCAAGGCCAGCCTGAACTACAAAGTGCAACCCTACCTCAGAGATGGGGCAGGGATGGAGAGAGGGGGGAGGGGGGGAGAGAAAGGGAGAGGGGAGAGAAGGGGGAAGAGGGGAGAGAGAAAGAGAGAGAGAGAGGGAGACAGCCACTATTACAGTCATCCAATCATGAGAATACTGCTAGCCCAGGTCCTAAGCGCCACATCTCCATATGTACTTCTAAATCAGAGGATACAGGACCACATAACAGGGAAGCCAAGGTCTTTTTCTAAGAGGAAAGACTTATCAGCACTTTTCCTCAATGCTAAACTTGACTTGGGGTTCTTAAACTAATGCTAATGTTCCCAAGCAAAGAGCTCACAACCTCCTCTATTTCATTTTTTAATAGTGAGTCACCACAGATTTAGGTATTTCATATTACTTCCACTTAAACTGTTACGAAGGGAAAAAGCTCCTGAGTAACTATTTACTACCAACTACCTATTACTAATAATTTTGTAATTTCGTAAGTTCTTTAGGTCTACAAGGTACTTAAAAGAATGAAGTACCCAAGAGCCAGAAGCTACAAGTAGTTACTTCATTTTTTTAAAAGTTAATATTGGGCCGGGGATATAGCTCAGCAGCACAGTGCCTGCCTGGCAAGCACAAGGTTGTGAATTGGATTACTGGTACCAAAAAATAAATAAATAATAGAAGTTAATATTACTGATATTAAAAACACTGATTATTTCTTACCTAACAAACCATTGCAATTATGCTTCCTTTATCCTTCAAATTATTTTTGTAACACACAGACGCTCTGGGATCTGGGTTGCTATTCTTAGTGCTAGATTTGCCAAGAGCAAAGATGCAAATCAAAAAGGAACCAGAGAAACACCACCTCTGGCTCAATTAGAAAACACGAACCTGTGCGATCTCTTCTGTTTTTCTTAATTTTTCCTCCCAGGTCACAGAAATTTCCTGGATTAGCTTCTCAGATTCTTCCAGCCGGTCTTTTAGCTCTGGAGATTTCATTGCCTATAACCAAAACGTTTGCTTCATGAAAGGTCTGGACAGCGCCCTGCAAAAGCAATCAGCCAACTCTCGAAGAACAAAGGTGGGCCCTGCCTCTGCGCGGGGCTGTGGCACGCTGAGGTCTCGTCTGCCTGAGACGGTGAGCCAGCGCTGACCTGGCTGACACCCAGTCACTGTGAGCACCAGGCCGTCAGCTCGCCCACAGTGCCTTCCAAAAGAAGGCTTACTTTCCCTCTCCCTTTCCTCTGTCCTACTGTAAAGACCTCATCACATTTAAGGAGATAAGCACATAAAGCTATTGGGGTTGTTAGTCTAAATTCCAATACATTATATATCTAGATTCACACACATGATTTAATCTCTACTGGTGACTTAAAGGAATGTATTCAAGCACATACAGAATAAATGTGTGCATGTTGCAACCTGATGTTATTAATACCAGGAAGACAGAGACAAAATTCCAAAGGGCCATGATGAATTGTAAAATGACTCCTGTAAAAACATAAATAAATAAAAAGACAGTGGTGAACAGGCAAAACCATGGTCAGCTACTTTGACTGTTTTACTGGTCTATGATCAAAACACTGGGTTAGAGGAAGAGGGCTTTGGTGCCAGCTCCAGGAAGAAGAAACAGCAAATAGGAAATCCTGTCTGACAATGGTGGAGCACTCGCTTGCAGGACAGAATTGTGCAGGTTTTCTTTTTTTTTTTTTTTTTTTTTTTTTTTTTTTTTTTTTCTCCGGTGCCGGGAACCGAACTCACGACCTTGCGCTTGCCAGGCAGGCGCTTTGCCGCTGAGCTAAATCCCAAGCCCCATTTGTGCAGGTTTTCAAATCCAGGAATGAAACATAAACACCATGCGTACACAGAACACAGAAGACGGGTGAAGCAGTGCTACCACGTGAAGTATTTGGGTATTTCACTTATAACGCAGCTTACTGTTCTACACACACAATTAGCCCACAGTGTAAAATTATTAAAAAACTAAAATTATTAATATGGATAGTAACATGATTCAAGTGAGGAAGGCCTCTGTTCTGACTCCTGCTCGCTCACAAATGAGAGGAAAAGTAACTGTACCTCCTTCAGTTCCTCTGCACCCAGTCCCATCTTCCGCACCGCAGTTACGCGGCACACACTCTCTTCTCCGCACCCTCTCCCTGTCCCGTCATGCCTTTCTCACAGCTGCTGCCCAGATGGAAATGGAGAGGAATGTTTTCTCAACTCCCTTTACTCTCTTCTATAATCTTTCTTAATCTCTCCAAGCCTCTCTAACGTTTCCAACAGGACAACCTTCTTTTATTTAATACTCAGCTCAAACTTCCCTTCCCATGAGAAATTCAAAGATTCTTAGTAGCATCTTCCTCACTTACGGCCAACGAGAAACAATTCAAGCCCTAGCTTGAGGAAGTTGTGCACGCCTCATACCTCTGCCTTGGTCAGCTGCTCCCGGAGCTTCTCCACCTCCTCACGGAGATCCCGGATGATCCGGGCATTGGGATCCTCGTTCACCACGGCATGATTAACAATGTGTTTGGCTCGATCTGCGTACCGCAGAGTGGAAAGGGTCTCGTCGTAGTTATCAGCTGCTGGGCTCACTGTAGCCACCATGGCTGTCTTGCTGTTTCCCCCCAGACTGTCCTGCCAGAGGGGAGAAAAGTGAGTAGGGTAATAGTTTAGAGTCGGAAGACCCCACATGAGAAAGCTGAGTCAGCAAGAGAAAAACTGACAAGGCCGAACACATATTTAAGGGCAAAGCTGGGGCTCACATGCAGGGACACAGACTCCCGTCCAGACTGTTTCTTCCCTCCCAAGCTACCTCTCTGAAAAAGGGAACTTTGCTTTTTTCAGAAAAGACAGGAAAATTGAATGATTTATTTCACTTTAATTAATTCTAACCTGGGTGCAATTAAAAAATTAATTCTAACCTCAGTGCAATACAACCCTATAATCCCAGTCGCTTGGGAAGATGAGGCAGGAAGGAAGCAAATTCAAAGCTAGCCTGAGAAATTGCTAAGATCCTGTCTCAAAAAGAAAAAGCAAAAAACAGCTGAGGGCTGCTTTATAGCACTTGCCCTGCATGTATGCGGCCCCAGGTTTGTATGCGGCCCCCATGGCCCGGTCCTATCAAAAATGAGTAATAATTAATTAATTCTAAATCAACTTGTCCCACTTAACAGGCGCACATTAGTGAGCAGACTACTCCGCATGAGAAGGACTTCTAAACGCCTACACCTCCCCTGGAGAAATTCGTGAGCACATGCTATCTGGCCTCTAGTCAAGGAGTGACCGCCTGAGATCTTCCTGCTGCACACCCGCTGGTACCAGCCTGTCCCCTAAGGAGCTGTCCTGCTTTGAAGACACAGGCACAATCACAGCATCCCAAGACAAAAGGCACACTGCAAAAACTGCATTTCTTCCCGTCCATAGGGCTACTACTATTCTGGCAGAAACTGCTAACCTAGGCTTCATGGACCACGCACCCCAGTGGGCCCCACCCTTCTGGTTTCCTGGAAGACTGTTTTTCCAGGGCCTGGGGCCGGGGAGTGAACAACCAAGCAGGGTTCAAGCTCCAGTGAGAGTCTAATGCCCCACTGATCTGACCGGAGGCAGAGACCAAGCCACGATGCCAGTCGTGTGGAGCAGCGGCAAATACAGATGAAGCTTCGATCCCTCACTCCTGCACCAGTCACTTGTCTCCTGCTGTGCGGCCTGGTTCCTAACAGGCCAGTGACAGCCGTCTATGGTCCAGGGGTTGGAGAGAACCCTGGTCCACACAATGGCTTTCATATTCAGACAAGGCCACTGAGATAAAATACTCATTTCTCATCTTTATTGTACTAGAACTGGTAAGTCCAGGGAAACAGGCTTTGGAACTGGTTTCCAACAAAATAAACAAACTACTTTTACTTCAGAAGAAAAAAAAATACTGAGATAGGAAGCTGGGAGTGTAGCTCATTGGTAGAGGATTTGCTCAGCATAAACAAGGCCCTAGATTCAGTCAAGGACGGAACCAAGGGCAAAAGGAAGACAGGGAGGGAGAGAGGCAGGCTAGTCAATGCAGGGGAAAAAAAGATGTATCTCAAATTCAAAACTGGAATTGGCACATCAAGCTCCCCCTGCTCCACGTGACCACACAACAGAATGGCTGTGACCCGTCTGTGGCAGGCAGCCTGTAAGACGGCCCCCATCCCTACCTCCTGGGATTTGTCACCTGGTTTGTTCCCTCGCCATGAGTGTAGCCAGCCCTTACTGACCATCCTATAATGACAAGAATACAGTGGAGGCGATGGCACAGCCCTTCTGAGGTACCATTAAAATGAGATGGTGGTTTCTGTCTTGGGCATCGTCTCTGCTCTGGAGGAAGCCAGCTGTCACGAGTGAGAGGGCCCTAGGAGGACACCCACAGGAGTGGTGTGGAAGCAGATCTGAAGCCTGCCCACAACTGTGTAAGCAAGCGGGTGTCCTCTTCCGGTCCAGGCCTGAGACGCCCACAGCCCCTGCTGACTCTGGACTGCAGCCACATGAGACCCCAGCCGCCCACTTTGTTCAGCTGACTTAGGAACTGCAGAGATAAACGACTGCTATTCCCTGCTATTAAGTTCTCTAGGAATGTGCTAGAGAACAATAGAGAACTACTTATACACAGCAATACACTGCCCCAGGCTGACAAGAATTAGGTGATAGAGACAGAGACAGAGACAGAGGCAAGAAGGAGAAGGAAATGAAGGAAGAACAGATGAACAGACGGATGGACTCCTTTTACATTACAGAACGTCACGGAGTAATAGATTCTCAAGTAAAAAGAGAAAAGTCAGGCATGATGGCACACACTTCTGAAGCCAGCACTCAGGAGGCTGAGGCAGGAGGACTAACTACCACAAGCTGGAGGCCAGTCTAGGCTGTATCAGTGAGTTCAAGGACAGCATTAAGAGGGAGATTTTTTTTTAAATATCTGAGGCCAGTAACAGGTAATTCACTAGATTACAGAAAAGCTAACTCTACTTTTGGGTAGCATTAACCTACAAGAAAATTCTTAGTTTTGAAGATATAAAGTCATTACAATTTCAATTTATATAAAATCTGCTATAGCAATCTGATTTATACAATCTTTGTGCATACTTAATTTTACTTAAGTTTTCAGGCTTTTGTAAAATCAATTATTAGTATTCCATTGTGTCAATGAAAAAACAAGCTTGTTCTGACAAAAGAGGTTAAATACCCTGCCTAAAAATTCAGAACTAGTCTACTGAATAATAATCTATTGCCCGTCTGTATGCTGTTTTTAAATCCATTAACATCTCCACTGCTCTACAACTACCCACAATACACACGAAGTAACAGCAAAATCTTGGAAACAACCCAAATGCCCATCAACCAAGGAATGGATAAAAAAGATGTGTTCTTTCTATACAATGGAGTACTATGCAGCTATAAAGAAGGATAATCTTGATACTTTATAGGGAAATGGATGCAACTTGAGCCCATTCTTATAAGTGAAATAAATCAGTCTCACATGCGTAAATATCGTATTGTCTCCCTAGGGTAAGAAGCTGAAACAGTAAATAAGACCCAATGTGTACAATCATTATGGTGAAATGGGAAGAAAATGCTCAAAAGGAAAGAGAAACTGGAATAGGGGAAAGGAGAAAAGAAGAGGAAAGGAAACACACACACACACACACACACACACACACACACACACACACACAGAAGATAGTTAAGATAGATATACCCCTAATTGCTCTTAGCTCGCTGAAAGGATAGGTATATGCCTATATTGCTTGATGGGTTTTTCATGCCTGTATCTTGTATTATGAGCAACTACTTTGAAGATAATGCACAATGTACTGAACACTCCTACTCTCCTACAACCCTGGTTTTGAAATTTTATAACATTGTTTTTATTGTTTCTTTTTCTTCCCTTTAAAATAAAAATAAAAATAAAAAATTTAAAAAAGAAAGTTCAGAGCTGAGGATTAAGTCAGATGACCCCATACCACTCCAAATTAATTTGTCCTGGGTCAGAAATACTAGGTTATTACTAACAGTTCTACATAACCACAGACAATGTCTGCTTACTCAACCATCAGTGAAATTTTGGTTCCAAAGAAAACAATCATATTGTAGAAAATATACTCTGAGGTATGAAAAGGCAGGAAATATAACTAATCTGGACTTCAGGAAGTAAAAGCCACTTTGTTCATTTTATTCTTTCACTTCTAGACATTGATCTCACAATCCTGGTGCCCCAGATTTGGCAACTTAAAGAAAAATGTCATCCAGAGTCCTATACACATTAATTACAGTCAGATGTGATGGGAGAAGATCACATGGATTAAATCTCGGGTTGCAGCTCCATTCCCCAGGAGCACCAACACCTACTGCAACTGCCAGCCCACATGAACAGCAAAAAGGAATGGGTGAAGAAAATTTCTAACAGCAACTACCACAGGAAAATAACGTGTATCCTGCTGCAGCTTATGCTCAGAAAAAGAAACCTGGCAAACAGCAAATGCTTGATATGAGAAAAGCCCTTGTCCATGAGGCAACAATATGCTTATATTAAAAAATGGTCTTGTGCCATTGGCAAAAAGGAAATAGTAACAAAAGAGCTGGCACTCATTCAAAGAGAAAGTATAAAGCTTCTTGTTTACTCTTTAATTGCCTAATTAGGCAAATCAGATGAGCTTTGTTTCAATGTAGCAACTGCAAATTAAATGGACACTGGAAAGAAATTTAATTTGGGAAGTCAGAATTTTTTAAGGCTGAATGACTCTGAACTCATCAAATCAAATTACTTCATTTTACAGATGAGAAATTGAGACCCAGGAAGGACAGAGACTCATCTTGAAATCATAAAGCTGATTCAGAGCAGAGCTGAAATTATTTATGACTCAACTCTTCAGGTAGGTTACCATCTAGCGGAAGAGGCAAGTACTCTATGAAAAGAACTAAAATTGGGCTAAAGAGGATGTGATCGGGGAGAACAAAGACAGGTCAGAAGGCCAGCTCTGGGGTTAGGAAGACTCCCGAGAAGGTGGCCTCTGAGACCTGCAGGTGAACAGGCACTACGCAGGGAAGGCGGCGATGGAAGGGGACTGAGATGGGGGAAAGAACGCACCCAGAAGAAGGAAGCCCTCGAAGGCACAGAGCAATCTTCACTTAGCCAGAATTTACAACACCAGGAACCAAAAGGGGAACAGTTAGAAGGAGGGGTCAGGGGATGAAGGGCCTTGTAAGTCACCTGTGGTTAAAGAATTTGGACTTGATCCTAAGGCCTGGGAACAGTTACTTTAATTTAGACGGATGTTGCAACCTAACTTCGGAATGGATTTGACTAAGAAAGCTGGAGGGCAATGTCTGTCCTCCAGGCAAGAGATCAAAGTCGCCCCCACTAGGGCAGTGTCAATAAGAAGGGAAAAGGGGGTGACTGGAAAGGTACCCATCCTCTAAGGCTCAGGTTTAGAAGGATGCAAACACCAAGATCACGCCACAATTACTACGAAGACATACTGCAAAAACTGTAAAAGAAACTGTAATTGTATGAGTTCAGTGGAAGGCACACTGGGGAATATGAGAATCCTATGTATGTCCTACAAGGGTCAGGGAGAGTCAGACCAAGAATTAGGGAAGGAAAAGCAACAGAGACCTGAAAGCTCTAGAATCCTTTTGTAGAAGCGCCCCTATGTATGATCTTGGTGCAAAAGTAAAACATGATCTTAAAAAGGTCACAGAAGAACTTAGGGAAAAAATAACAACGAAAGTCAAATGAATACTTGATATATTTTTTAAACTGAGACTTAACACATGGGAATTCCAATAACCCAAATTATACAGAAAAAGTCAACTTTGGGGGAAAAAAATGAGCTTTTTAAAAGATATTTTTCGTTCCACTCAAAGTATTACAAACAGCTTTTCCTCCTTATTTCCTATCACGCACTGGTCAAGTCAAGCACATCTCCAGAGAGGTGGGCAGTGAACTCACCCTGTACTCCAGGCTTGACCCTGCCATCTGCAGGATTTGCACCCTTTGCTCATCTGACAAACGGGAAAACTACCATTCATCTTCTGCCCCGGGAAACAAGCCCTTGGGAGGCATCTGATTCTGCTCAAACAGGTTCTCCTAGAGCCCCGCTGAGGGGGTGGCCACTCAAACTACTGAGGCCATTAATGATTGCCAACTAAACTCACAAAAGACAGTCCCTATTGTTTGCAATAGACTGACGTAGCAACAGCACAACAACATAGATAATGTATATTCTCTCTCCTTTTTTTTTGTCTTTTTGAGATAGGGTCTCGCTCTGCAGTTCAGGCTGGCCTCGAGCTCACTTTGTAGGCCAAGCTGGCCTCGAACTCACAACGATCCTCCTGCCTCAGCCTCCCGAGTGCTGGGATTACAGGCATGCACCACCACACCCGGCTGTTATTCTCTTTCAAACCAGGCAGATCAAAGGAACAGTCATGTATGATCAAGAAATGTTTCTGTGGATGATCTGAGGAAGTGAATATCAAGATTTTTTCTGGAGAAAAGTGAGATGATGAGGTTAATGCCTGACACACTCCTTGGGAGCAAAGTGACTGCACTATCCACTCACAAATGGTTTTTAATGATCAAAAATTATTTATCCTTTTGTCATAAATTTCTAATTTGTTGCATTCTGGCCAAAGGAAGTAACCTACCTGATTTTCCAACCCTGGCCAAGTTATCCAGTTTTAGCACTACACTTAAGCAGAACTTACTGCTATTTATGTAAATAAAGGTTTCACTTGACAAAGCACTGAAACGGTGTGCAGGGTTTTACATTAATAAGTTGAATACTAGAATTCTCTGGGACAGTGTAAACCAGGGAAAAGAATGCACTTCCCTTCACAAAGGCAGTTCCCTGGACCCACAGACCTGGGTGATAGCTGTGCCCTCACTTGGCTCGCTGGCCCGTGTTTCACTCATTTTACAGTCAACTCCTCACACAGTGAGCAACAAGAGTTCAGTAAATTCTTATCAATGAGGAAAAGAGCCGTTCCAAAGCAAAACAGGACACACAAAATTATTTCTCCATTTTTTTTTTGAGACAGGGTCTTGCTATGCAGTTCAGGCTAGCCTTGAGCTCACTTACGTAATGCACAGAAATGCACTTTCTCACTTAGAAATGCACAGGCATTTCTCCATTTTAAAAAGCAGAAAAAAGTATTAGACAAAGTGGAAGATTTTGTTCAGCGCTGCAACTCTATAAATGTCACTCGAACTTCTATCCTCTAGCCCAGCTGATGTCCCCTTCACTGCACCACCTCTAGGAAGACTGGGGAAAGCCGGGGAAAGCCTGGAAATAGCCTCACTTTGGCCCCCCAGCTCTGATTCCACGGAAGGGCCCTCTCTGTTGCAGGGAAAGTCACAGCTCATAGTGTGACACCCTGGGAGTGCAGCTCGTCTCCCTTCCTGCACCCTGAGCCATCAAGACCTAGGAGTGGCTGCATTTCCTTCCGCTCTCCTTGGAGGCGCTTCACGTGGTGGTGACTTTCTCCTTCTACCTCTTCCATGCGCGCTAATGAATTAATCGGTGAATGTGTGCCTACTTCCTATCTTTCAGCAACACCTCTAAGAAAGTGAGAGCCAATTAAATGATCATGAGCAAAGTTAAACGAAAGACAAGGACCAAACTATTGAACAAAGGATCGTGAGACAGAGAGCGCAGCCCAGCAGAGGGCACCAGGCAGCGCACGCTCCTTTGCTGTGACTCACTCAGCTATCACATTCGCCCTGTTCCTCTTCCTCCTCACAAAGCTCCAGGGGCATCTGTGCGACTCAAGTGTGCCCAGCAGCCCCCGCGCATGCTGGCTCTGGGGGACGCGGTGGTGATAGCAGGAAGGAACCTGGGCGTACTCAGTCCTTAAAAATTATGATTGTCTTAACAGTCTAATAATTATCAACTTGAACACTGACGGACAAAGTTATAACCAGAAAAGACTAATTAATAGTTTACTCTGTACTCTTCTGTTTTGCCAACCACCAAGGTATGTCAGGAAAGGAAGGAAAAAAACACTTACTTTGAGCAGCCATGTGAGAACTGAGTCACGGTATGGAACGAATTTATTTTTGTTTTTGCCAGCACCCTGATCTGCTAAGGCTGAGATAACCAGACCGAGGGTTGTGAGGGACCTGCGCGGTGCAACAAACCATAATATTACAAAAACTGGAGCACATCAAATGTCACATTTTAGCACAAGGATGCAACACCCCTGAACCTCCACGCGAGCAGCACTGTGTTCTGCAATCTGCTGCTCAGTGTGGAAACACAAATGCTTAAAGACCTGCTGTCCTCTAACACTAGGTCAAGCCGTAAAGATGCTTAGCCCAGTTTTTTTCATACTGCTAGATAAAAATGTGAGCTATAAAACTTAAGTCCAGCTGGGCATGGTGGTGTAACCCTGTAATCCCAGCACTCGAGAGGCTGAGGCTGGAGGATCATTGCAAGTTCAAGACCAGCCTGGGCTACAAAGTGAGCCAGCCTGAACTGCATGGTGAGACTCTGTCTCAAAAAGACAAAAAAATAAACAAATAATATTTTTTTAAAAATGAAAGTTAAGTCCAAATATTGAAACAAACACTGTATCATGAAGAAAGAAGCCCCAAGACGATATAATAATTAAAACCTAGGACAAGCAAAATTTACATCTGTATGATTTCAATAACAGCACAGCACCTAGATGAGGTGTCCTGTAATCTCTAGTTGGTAACTAATGACTCAATACACGTCCTCATGGGACCCTAAGGACAAATAAACTCCAGCCCACAGGAAGCTACCAGTCTAGCTTGAGAGAGAAAAGATAACCACATGAAGCACTTGGTGAACAAAATATTACTTCATAAAGTCCCAGCTTCTTGGACTTGGACAAACACAACAGCAGTAGTGAAAGGGCCTGCCCAATGTAGCTAGTACAGTGTCTGTTTAGACAGCAGCACGGGTCACAATCACCAGCTGGCCTATGAGACCAACTGTCGTCCTTTTCTATACCTTGGACCAGTGGTTCTCAGCTGGATGGCAGCAGGCCCCCAGAGGGAACCGCAAGCCACTGAGTCTGGGTGGTCACAGCTAGGGGGAGCACTAGTGCCATCTAGTGGGCAGATGTCAGGGATGCTGCTAACACCCTGCAATGCGCAAGATACTCCCACTCCAGGATAAAGAATCACCCAACTCAAAGTCAATAGGGCCATTGTTGAGGAAGCCTGACTTAACTGAGTCTGTGCTCCTCAGCCCCATCACACGGCTCTACAGGGCCTAACAAGAGCCCAGGCCCATGGAAGACAAAGTAAATCCAAACTACAGCGCAGCCTTCACCAATCCAGAATCACCTTACGTTAATAACCACAGATGCTCCCCTGTTTGGCTTCCCATTAGCTCCACAAAGCAGAAGAGTACACTTCAGGAAACTTACTTGTTAATGTTGCTGCCCTCCTTCAGCCTGTCGCCAGCGGCTCCAGTTTTTGTTGCTCGTTCACTGCCAGCTAAATCAACCAAGCTCAATTTCCCCACTTTCTCCCCAGATGTCTGTGAAGCAAATGGATACACACTAATAAGCACTCAGACAATGCAGAGGGCAGGCTGTCCCAAATGAATGGGTTCATTATCTAAATCCTTTTTTAATTTGCTGTTATTACAAAATTTTGTGCTGTTGTAGAACACTGTAAGAAAACTACAATCTAGCAGTGATACAAAAGATCCCTACTAATCCAGACAGAGTGACAGTTATCTCAGAAAAATAGTGCCCTCAAAATAAAGACATTTGGAAGGAAGCCCAGTACAAATTTTCAGAGAAGAGCCAGGTGGGGTGGCATACACCAGTAAATCCAGCTACTTGGGAAGCTCAGGCAGGAGGATTGCAAGTTCCATGCTTTTTGGGCAACTCAGTGAGACCCTGTCTCAAAATAAAATAACAAAGAAGGGGTGGGGATATAGCTCAGTATTCCCTGGGTTCAATACCTAGTACTGCAAAGAAAAAAAGAGTCTACAAAACTACTTACATGAATTTTAACATGATTTGAAACTATGCTTAAATTTTTATATTTACCAGTAATCATCATCATCTTTTTTTTTTCCTTTTTTGAGACAGAGTCTCGCTATGTAATTGACACCGGCCTTGAACTAACTGTGTAGCCCAGACTGGCTTTGAACTTGCAGCAGTCCTCTTGCCTCTGCCTCTTGAGTGCTGTGATTAAAGGTGTGCACTGGTTTACCAGTAATCCTGAGGCAAAATACCAATATTCTTAGTGATGTAAAAACAATAATCTGACTTTTATACAACAGAAGTAACCCTCAAAAGCTCAGAACACTTTCTAAAGTATCATTTTATTCACATACAGTATAGTAACTCCTTTTTTTGAGACAAGGTCTCACTCTGCAGTTCAGGCTGGCCTTGAGCTCACTTTGTAGCCCAGGCTGGCCTCCAACTCACAATGATCCTCCTGCCTCAGCCTCCTGAGTGGTGGGATTACAGGCATGCACCACCATGCCCGGCCTATTTTATACTTTCAGGTATTAGATTTATACTAGTTTTAGTTAAGATACTTTAAATGTGTACACAGTGCAACTTTTCCTTATTGAAGTACATACATGAAATGGATATTTTATACCTCAGCAGCAAAACAACAAAAAAAGAGAAAGCCAATGACAAAATCTATACACTGGATCATTTCTTAAACTTTCCCTTACAATATACATTTATATTTATTTCCATAAAATGAACATATTCCATAAAATGAAATATTGCATATTTGGAAAGCCGAAGATATTCGGCTTTCCAAATAAAAAGTATTTTTGACTAAAGAAACAAAAAAGTGTCTTCAGTATGTTTTTTGTCTTATGCTACAAAGGAAACAGAAAACAAAGAACTTTTTGTTGTTACACTAATCTTGCTGTGATGGTTTAAAAAAAAGAGAAAACTATGCTTTCAGCAAATGAAAACCCTGCCAAAATATAGCACTATGTCAGGGTGATTACTTTGGCTTCTGGTACTTGAATCTGAGCACCAAGGGGTGGGCATCATAACATACTATGCAAACCTTCCCATGGAGAGAGAGAAAACAGAAATGTACAGGTCAACACAGAAGTCCTCAGTGTGGCACATGCATTAACATCTCTGACTCAGTTTCAGCTTATTCTTCACCATGTTCCAAATCAAATACTCAAAAACTTGTTCTATCAAATCCAGTAACTTTATAGTACAATTTCCCCAGTGCAAGTTATCCTTTCCAATCCTGGCTGTTTAGCAGAAGAACCTCCACTAAATCGGCTGGTGCATTTCCATGCACTCAGCCAGCCAGCAGAGGCAAAGCCCCAGGCTGCTGAGCTGGGACTGCAGGTCGTCAGCTGCATGGCTTCATTTGCCCTTGCCTCTAGCTGCAGAGGGTAGGACCTAAAGCCCACATCTCTACAGCACCTCCCACAAGGTCTGGGCCTAGGAAGGGCACAAGTTCTGTGCATCAGATCTTCTTGCTGAAGAACTGGACAACAGAGATGAAGTGGTTCTTTGTGGCTCTCTGTGCCGGGAGGCAGGATCATGGCAAGACCAAGTCCGGCAACACAGTTTCCCAGCACACGCTTCCATCTCTATGGTGCTAGGACACAGCCTTATTGACAGGAGCAACTTCTTTATTCCTGCTACCTGGTCAACAGTTATGGGGCGCACCTTGAATGCATGGCTCTAGGAGGTCCTCAAAGACAGCACCATTCTGAGGTACCAGATCTGTGTGGCTCTGAGCATCATTCCTAGAGACTCTGTCTAGAACCTGCTCCTCCTCAGGTGTTCTGACAACTCCCCAGTCACTAATATCCTACACTAAACCCCTTTTAGATCACTAAAGTGGTTGCTGCTTCTTGTCTAGAGTTCTAATTGATAGGTAAGTCTGGCTACGATCTGAATTCATCTAATGTCTCACAAGAACAACATAAATGAGCACTTTAGACACTAAAAGAGGTCATGCACATGAACACCTACCCCAGACTTCACGTCATAGAGTGTGTGTGTGAGGGTGATTTTGAAGACGGCATGGGATCGGCTACTCTCCTCATTCATGTTGGTTGCAGCAACTGTCCGAGATTTGTTACCTTCAGACATCAAAGACTCAATATCCTAAGTGGAAACAAGTCACAGACACACATCTCATTGTCTATGTAATAAACAGTAACTCAGCTGCACTGTGAAATGCATTACAAATTTTTCTAGTCAACACATTTGCAGTTTATAACTTATTTTTAAATGAACACTAAGCCCCACAGAATAAAAGAGCTAACACTGTCTCGAAAACTAAACTTATTATTTTTTGTAGGTACAGAAGAAAGTCACAGCTTTAACTCAGGAAAGTTTAAAAGCTACATTATTGAGTCACACAAGATAGACAAATACTCCATCCCAATACTCATCTACTTCAGGAATTTGAAAAACTTAGTGTCTTTAATTAGAAAAGCAGGGCCTGGTAAATGCAAGGTCCTGAGTTCGATTCCCAGTACAAAAAAAAAATTATAAAAGCACTGCAAGTTTATTGTTAAAAATAAATCCAATTATAAAAATAAGAAAAAACAAATAACAGTAACTTGTAATCCCTCACTGAAGCATATTACTACTACTATCATCACATCTTAGCATAGCTGTGCTTAAAAATGAAAACATCAAGAGACTAATTTTCTGTACAAATTTGCTACTTGGTTGCTCTTACTGCTAAAAAAAAAAAGCATTACATAACAGATCACAGAATTTTCATTTAAAAAATGCTATAATCTCTAAAAATGGTTAATCAATGTGAATTTTAGTTTCACTACTAACAACAGAAAGCTATAAAAGCATCTACCTGGGTCACTGGTGTAGCTGAGTGATGCAGTGCTTGCTTAGCATGTGCGAGGCCCTGGGTTATATCCCCAGCACCACAAAAATAAACAAGCAAATAATCAACCATGTAAGAATTTTCAGAAACAAGACAAATGGTTATGTATGAAATGGACGTGTGCATGCCTACTATGATCCAGCCTTTTCTTCCCCATAACAGAACCCTATCTTTGATTATGCATCCTGTGGTAGAGCTAAGACACCACATTTCCAAGACGCCCTTGCAACACAGGCTTGGCCACATGACTAAGTTTTAGCACATGGTACAATACAGATTGCCCGGTCCACTTTCCTTAAAGGGAGTAGGCCTTGATCACAGTCTGACTGTAAGAGGCGTCTTGAAGTGTGAGAACACTGCATGACCATCCCCATGTGCAGTGGGAAAGGAACGGCATCTTGGAGCCACCACACCAGTCCTAGAGCAGTTTCCCCTAGACAGCTTACACAAAAAGCCTCGTTTAATCCATCGTTCTCTTATTTGTTCACTCAAATGTATATGGAGAGCGTGTACCATATTCCAAGTACTTTCTAGACAATGAAGATACACAATGAACAGAACAGGAAATAACTCATACTTCAAAAACCTTAATCCTACTATATTTTTATGTTATATGCAGTAAAATGATATACATATGTGAAAAACTCTGAAAATCACAAGATTGTAAGTGAAAAAGAATAGTGTTTAAGGAAAATTCAGCATGATAAATAAAAGGCCTCAAAAAAAAATAAATGAAAAAAAAAAAGCAATGTGAGAAAGAGCCAGAACAGAAAAGCAACATGAGGTAAAGTCTACAGTTTTCTAGATTTGTCCCATCCGTTTTACAGCCATGACGTCTGGCAAGCTTAATCTGTAAGATTCATCACATTTAGTCCACCTTAACTCACTGGTTTCACACTCTGCTACCTCACGTTAAAGATTTCTTTGTAAACAATGATTTACTAAGTGATGCTATTATCAATTTAAGTTTTTTAAAAAAATCCAACAGAAAACTGCACAAAAATTAGTTCACAGAAAGGACATTGTTACCTTGTAGCTTGTGACAGCCAGTTTAGAAAGTCCATCCACATAGGGTCCCAATACACTGTGCTCTCTGACTTTCAACGTTTGGCGGCTTCTGTTCATGAAAAACAAAGAAACCATTTGTTAAGAATGATCTGTTTTTAAAGGACTGAACTGTGCTTCATGGAAATATATATATTTAATTTAAGAAAGACCCCAAGTAAATAAAACCAACTGACTTGATCCCTGAAGAATTTAAAACAAACTTTCAAAGCTTCACTGGAAAGAACAGCTCCATAATGTGCTAAAATATCACATCACTCAAAAGGGTAAGCTGTGGGATGTCTATTTACTACCATAAAGAATGCAGAGTCAAAAAAATATGAACAGTCTACTTGTCATATCACAGAATGTGGCACGGAGATGGAAATTCAATAAATGTTAACTGTGCAAGAAAGGAAAATTCAGACCCAGCTCAATCACAAATGAAGACAAAGAAACAAAGACAGTAAAATGAATCTAATAATGACTTAAAAACACAACACTGGGCTTATCCCATGGTCATGAGGGTGTCTGAACATCGGGGAGGAAAATCACAGACTTTACGACACTGAAGGACTACAAGAGGGGATAAAGTATGACCATTTCAACAAATGTATGAAAAAAAGATTCAATAAAATGAAAATTAAATACACTCTCATAACTTTTCAAAAAATGAACCTCTTAGAAAAAAGGAACTGAGAACCCCGTGAAGAGCACCTGCCAAAAGCACAGATTATACAGCACATTCAATGCTATAAGCCAAAAAATACTAAGTATTTGCTAAGATGTTTGCTGAAGGGTACAAAGTTTCAAGGGTACAATCAGTAAGTATGCGAGTGATGGATGTGTTAACTATTTAGTTAGCTATTCCATAATGGCACATATATCAGAACCTCACACTGTGCTTTACAGAGAGATACAAGTTTTTGCAACTAAAAATAAAATTTTTAAAAAGGAACAATTGGGGATGGTGAGATTTCAGGTGATTCCTACTTTATGATCTTTTGGTTATACATCCTTTCTACCATGAATGTGTATTCACTTTGACTACAAAACACTGTCTTTTAAAAATAAGTAATGAGGCAGGTGTGGTGGCACATGCCTGTA